CTTTCCCGGGCTGGTAGACCAGCCCTACCCAGGGGCTGGTAGATCTCCCATGGTGGCGGAGAAGCTGCACAGTGGGGGAGAAAGCCGGTGCTTGCGGCGAACCCTGGGAAAGCCTGCGGCGATGGCGAAAAAGCCCTGGCTCAGCAGCAGCAGCTGGAGCCCGGGAGGCCTCCTGGCGGCAGCGGTCGCGGCGGTGGAGGTAAGGTGCAGCTTTTTAAAAACTGTTTTGGGTGGCTTTTGCAGGGTGGGATTGGGCTGGTGGGGTTATGTTTGTTTTTTATTTGTTTTGTTTTTTGCAGCCCCAGGGGCTTGCAGTGTTTTATTTTTTATTTATATATTTTTTGTATTTTTTTTCTTCACCCGGAACGGAGTAATCAGTTTTCAGTGCATTCCTATGGGAAATGGTGTTTCTACTTACGAGCGTTTCAATTTACAGCCACCGTTCCGGAATGAATTACGTTCGTAAGTAGAGGTACCATTCTACAGCCCAGGTAAATTTTTTGCTCTGTTCCAGTAGAGCAGAGCAAGAACTTTGCCTGAAATCTTGGAGAACGGCTGGCAGTCTGTATAAACAGCACTTACTACTACACCAAATTGAGTAACAGCCTGACTCAGTTTAAGGCCACTTCCTATGTTCCTATCTGATGTTGTTTTATGAGGCTTTTTAAAACTGTGTCATGCCACTAAAAGTCTACCACAAAGAGACTGTGGAGTCTGTATACAATTCTGCTTTCATTGTTCTGTTTAAGACTGGATTGCACAGATCATCTGGCTATCTGAAATAGAATTTGACCTGTCCCCCTCTCTTTCTACACCCTCTTCTTCTGCAGACTGTAATAAATGTGCATTGTGTTTATGGTGCTATTTTAATTTTGATCTGGTATGTTCAGCCATTATTATTTCAGTAGACCCAAATCATTCTTTATGGCAAAAGTCAGTGACACAAGCAATCAAGGGCTTTCTTTCCCTCCTGAAAATCCATCCACGCTCGAAATAAGGGAGCTTTAGCTGTTGTTTAAATAGACTGTATAAAATGGAAGAGGGCCGTGTGCCTCGGCTTGCAACTGATAGCAGCTGCCTTTCGCCTCTTGTACCATTTTAGGCTGAGCTGCTGCTCTTTGCTGGGAGTTAAAGATCTCAGCAGGAAGGTGGAAGGAAGTTTAGTTGGCTTTTAAATTTGAGACAGAGAATAAACCATTGCTTCTTACTCCTGAGTGTTGACAGGCACATAAAAGCTGATAATGTAAGTCCAGGGGTTTAAGAGGCTTAACAGTTTTGCCTTTTTTTGTATTGCTGTATTTTAATGCCTCATTAAAGAGACAGAGTTCTTTGATATCTTTTATTAGATGGTTTAATAAAGAAAAGTTTAGATGCTTAGGTCTAAATGTCAACATTTAAAAAATTAACAGTCCCTTTAATAACCTTCATCTTTAAGTCTAAAGGTTATATGTTCGTGTGGGAAGAAGCAATTTAATGACTTCTGGCTTTGTGTACATCAGAAGTAGTTGCTTACAACTTAGCATCATCTCTTTGCAGATGCTATAGTACTGGTGCAAAATGACAATCTCTCTATTTTACTAATGGAATAAAGGAAAGCCTGGGGAGGGGGCCTATTTTTGAAAAGTTGCTATTTTACAGATTGTAGACTGTGCTGTATTAGAGGTTCTTCTTTGTGGTCTCTGTGAATGTACACGAATGGGTTAAACTGCATCTGCGCAGGACTCTTCAGAATATTCTAGAGCTAAAATAATGACAAGTGAAACGTCTCCCTGTATCGCGACCACATGCTCCGCCCACCAGTACCTCAGTTCCTTTTCACTGCCACTGCAGTCGGACTACTTCGAATAGTTTAGAGCTGATCTTCTATTTAAAATCTCTGGTTTGATTCAGACTGTTTTTCCTGATTATGAAAATTATCTGGCTTATTGACAACGGACTGTCCTAAATTGGATTTCACGCTAATCCCTGATTTGATTCTGTGATTATTTGGCTTGACCTCAGACTGTTTATCGTTCTGACCTTGGATTTCGGATTGAATTTATTCTTGATTATTTATTGAACTGGTATTTTGGCTTGATTCTGGACTTCAATCGTTATGTCTCCCATGAGTTTTCTCCCTAATTACTATCGTTCTTTGGTTACCGCCAGATTTTATGGCCTCTTCAGGCCCGCTTAAATGGTGCATGTCATCTACAAATAAGGTCCCTTTCACAGACGGCATGGCCGCTGCGTGTTTTGTTTAGGAGAGAGACATCAGCCTAATTCTTGCCAGGAGTGCAAGACTGACCAAACCCACTTTAAAGTTTCGATTACAGAGTCTCCATTCCTATCTCTGGGAAAAGTCCTTAACACCATTGGGCTTGACAGAGATGGACCCAGCTGCGTCTACTGCTCCTCCTACTCCTTGTATCGATCCTATGGCTTCCCCAACACCAGCTACTCCTTCTTCCAAGGCGTCATCTGAAGTGTCTAAGTCTAAGAAGGATTCAGTGTTGGGATTGACATTGGTACCGAGGGCAACATCGACATTGGTACTGAAGGCACTGTCTAGTAAGGACCGAAAGAAAAAGAAGGTTTCGAAGTATAAAAAGACTAAATAGGCTGACAAGTCAGTTCAACTGAAGGAGCCTTCTCCTGTGAGAGTTACTTTACCATCTCCTATCTTAGAGGAGTCGTCTCGGGAACTTCCTGATCCAGAATCATTGTCTGAGGGAGAAAGCTTGCCTGAGCAATCTCAACAACAGGCTCTGAGATCGATTCCAAGCCTGTCCCCTAGCCACAGCCTTTCAGAGGCTGAAGTTATTTCCAGCCAGGCCTCAGCCCATTCTAGCCCTATATCTATCGGGCGGGCAACAGTGGCTCAGGTGTTGGAGTCGGAGATGTCTCCACGACATTCCTCTCCTAGAAAACACCTTGCGAAACGTCGGCATATATCTCTGGACCGATATCAGGCTTGACATCGGGAAGTCATAGTGCTTCCATGCCTGTCTCAGCGTTGCGCTGTTGCTGAGTACGACGAACCACTCTATATGGAAATGGACCGACATGGTTTTCGATGTCGATATCAAGAATACGAATTCGACCCCATGTTCGTACCCAAGAGGGTACGCTACGTCTACGCCTCTTCTGGATCTTCTCCTTCACCGCCTCGATGACGACACCAAGCTTATCTCGAGGTCAAACCGATCACTGTGAAGCATGCCCCAAAATGATATGCTCATCAGGAGCAGTTTTCCATGCCCAAAGAGAAGCAATCTTGAGCGCAGTCGATACTGGTGCCTTCAGTAGCACAACCCAGGACATCCCGATCTCAGGCATTACATCAAACTCTACCATCAAGATCAGTTCAACCTCTTGATGTTGTGCTGCCAACTCCGATACCGGGAGTCTTTGCCTCCGCGTCAAGAGCACACAGATGCTCACCACCACCCACGCTGTCTACGAGGGGTACTGACAAGTATTGAGCCTTACCCAGAAAAAATTGAGCTAGGAAGCTCAATGTGCAGG